TGAGGCGATAAATCAAGATGTTGTCTAGCGCGAGAGGAGCTGCAGTCACAGAGCATGAAGGGCACTACGGAAGCCCGGCAGGCTCATCTCCATTTAGATTCAAACGTCACGGGGACTAAATAATGTGTGTTCTGATAATTCGCCTCTGTGAGCACGGGTCACAACAATGTTTATCAGGCAAGACGCTAATTTTATTTCACTTTTACTTTCTGTGTAGGTCAAAAAGTAGAAATACTGAATGGATTGTTTAAAATGTGGGTCTGGTCAAGTTGTAACGGAGGGAAACAGGGGCAGATTTTTGACATTCAAATGTCTCTTATTCAGAAACTAGAGGGACTATTGAAATAAGTAAAGTATCAGAATGTAGGAAAGAGTTACACTCCAACAGGGTCAAGTTAAACCTGTGATATTCTTTCAAGTTGTTGACAAAAAATTTTAAAACTCATGTCGGTAACGGAGGGAATGAAATATGCAGCACTTTTTGGGCAATAAATCCAAACAGTGATAACTCTTGGTTCTCACTTACATATCCTTAACAAACTGGTTTGAATATTTGCTTCATATAGTTTTCTACCATATGGTACAAGATTAAGTTGAAAAACCTCTTACTTTTTGAGTAATGAGATTTTTTTTTAAGAAAGGTCATGGTAACGGAGGGAAAAGTAACGGAGGGAAAATTGTACAAACAAGTAGAAGGTGCAGGATTTTACATCATTTGTCAACTTTTTTCTTCCAAATGCTTTAATATTACTTCAAAATGAAAGGAAACAATTTCTATAAAATATGTCAGTCCTTCCAAGCAAATTTTTATCATTTTAAATACATTTAAAAATCATGTCCCTTCATCAACAGTTCAAAGATGGAATAACACAAGATATGATGAAATACATCCATTTATTGACATGATTTTCAGGTCTTTGAAATTTGGGAAATAATTTTTGTTCCATGTTTCATACATGGTCTGTTTAAAACGTATGGAACTTTAGAACCAAAAATGGAACAGAAAAAAGGTCAACAGTTTCATAAACTAGAGTACATATGTATCTGTTCAATACATTTTTATATCAGATGCAATTAACTTGTTGTTTACTTCTGCTTGACTGGGCCCATGTGCAAGTTTGTAATTAAAATTGTCATTTTAAGTGTGTTTGTGGCTTTTTGATCCTTTTTGTGGTAATAATAACATTGGAGTTGGAATATATCGAAATCTAAAGTTTTCCTATTCTGTAAAATTGACTTTTTAAGACTTTTTAATCCTGTTACAGTTGTTTCTCTTCTCATTTACTCTCTCAAAGTTGTGTTTTGACTCATGCATGTTTGAGTCATCTTTATTTTACTTACTTATTGCTCCGATCTAACCCCATTTTCACTTCCACCAGTACACGCCCACGAGACGTATGCACTTCATTCTCCACTTTTCCTTTCTTAATCAGTGAAACACAAAGGTTTTGGTTTTGCTCACAGAAGCTGCGACAGCGACACGGCGCTTCATTGTGATGTTTTCGACGACGTCAGATCCCATCGGGCATCGCAATTTTCTAAGGAAATCGGTGGACTTAATTATTCTGAATTAAACAGTTTGGAATTAAAATGTTCTCCTTCGAGTTTACGTAGAAATAATCATTCCAAATTGCGCTTTACATGGAAAACTTGTTAAATCGCCTTCTCGGTTTGTCGTTACGCCACCGACACAAATATGATCCCGACTTTTTGGACTGGTGGTCCAGGTCACGTCAGAAGGGCGACCCAACGAGGATGTGCTGAACGGCCGGAATTATTTTTAAGAAGAATAAACGTTTACATGATCCAGGAATTTGGCTTTCAAATTCAAAATAAACCACCCACTTACTTTGGAACCTAAGTTGAATTCCGAGTAACCATTTTCATTAGGAATTAAGTGTTTACATGTTCTTTTTAACGTGGAATTGATTTTTATTCAGAATTAAATCATTTTTATTTGGAATTAAAGCCTTCATGTAAACGTGGCGATTGTGTCTTCTTTAAGTTCAAAATTGTTCATCAAAATCCACAAAATTAAACTAATAAGAAATGTAAAGACCAATGGGTCATTTGGGGATATTTTTTCCCAAATGACATCTATGGTTTTGTTTAGATTTTTTGTTTTTTTAATCAATATTTAATTGACTTTTTTTTAAAGATAAAAAAAAAAAAACACAAGCTTGCATTCCTTTTCATATAAATTAATCCTACTCCAGCTCGGTAGTAAAAAGTGTAATATCTGTTTTATATAAGTAAACAACACCTAAGAACAGACATGTCAAACTCAGGCCCGGGGGCCACATTTGGCCAGCGATATAATTATATTTGGCCCATGAGATTTCATCAAACTTGTATTAGAGCGGCCCCCTGTCTGCAGGTAGACTATAGAGACATTATTTATTTAAAATGTTGTTATTATTTTATATTCTGCTTGTTCTGGATTCATTGTTTAAGCAAAACTATTATTAAACATTTATTTGAATAAGAAAAGGTTTAACATTACAGCTACATTATCCATTTTATCTACATATACAATACCTAAGAACATCATTATAACATCCATTTTATATAAGTACACAACACCTAAAAACGTCATTATAATATTTATTTTATCTATTTTATACACAACCTAAGAACGTCATTATAACATCTATTTTATATAAGTACACAACACCTAAAAACGTCATTATAATATTTATTTTATCTACGTATACAACACCTAAAAACGTCATTATAATATCTATTTTATATAAGTACACAACACCTAAAAACGTCATTATAATATTTATTTTATCTACGTATACAACACCTCAGAACGTCATTATAGTAAGTCTTCTGCTGTAGTTTTCTGTGCAGCTTCATTCTTAGTCCATTGAGTCTGATTTGCTGACTCAGCCATTGCATCATATTACCGTAAGTACTTCAACAAGAGAGCTCTCAAATGAGCCCTTAATACGAGCACATAACACACACACACACACACACACACACACACGAGTCAGTGAGGGACAGCGCTGATGCCATTAAGGTTCAATTGGACGCTTGTTCTCTACAGGAGAGGCGCGCTAACTGTACACGCAGACGTTGTGCTGAGCTCGTCTTTTTCTCTGTGTTCCACTTTAGCGCCTCTCCTCCTCCTCCTCCTCCTCCTCCTCCTCCTCTTTTCTTTCTCTCCTCATCGTCTTCATTCATTATTCATGTCCCTCACTTTGAGCTGCTGCTGTGGCTCAGAGCTACAGGCAAATACAAAACAACACAGACACACAAGGACACGTACAAGACGACTGTATGTTACACTCACACTCAAACACTTTTTATTTTTTAAGCTTTTTTGACTCTTGACTTGTCATCAGTTTGTATTTTTCCTTCAGCGTTACTCGATATTTTCTCAATTGTACTGTAAATATTCAAATAAAACAGCAGTACCATCATCTATTTGGATATTTTTGTATAATAAATTGATTATTCTTCTGTCTACATACATATCTGTGCAAAAAAATCCACACATTTTAACCCTAATATAATTTTTTCATATCACAGTAGCAAAGTCGTGCTCTAAAACGGCACAAAATGGTGTCAGTCGTCTGTATCAGTCTTTAGTAATTTGCTTTTGATACATATTTTATATATTTTTCCACGGCCTGATATCGTTTATCTTCACTAGTTTTGAGGAGTTTGAGCTGAGAGGAAATGAAATCATATAATCTCCACAAAAATAATAATTAATCATTTTAGAGATACACTCGCATAAATGAAAACTGTCACAGCACAAAGAAAATACAAACTTTTCGTATGATTTTCTGCTGTTTTGAGACTATTTTACATTTTGAGGGGCTGGATGATGGTGCCACCTACTGCCTTCGCTCAATTTCATTTTTCTCCAGCGACTAGTAGAGGTGCGCGGATGAGCTACTTTTTCATCCGCAACCACATCGCAAAACTCATCATCCGCCCGCTGTCCATTTGCAACCACAGGTTTTTGACCAGTTTTCAAAACCGCACCCGCCGCCATCCGCTCAGTCTCCTCCCAGTTGCTCCGAGTTCAGAGTTTTTTATTTGAGTAGTGAAACCGCCACCCGCCCGAATTTAATTAAAATATTATTTTTCGTCACGTCATCCTCCCGACCCGCAGTTTAGCCGCGGAGTCAGCGGCTGTAACCGCCATCCGCGCATCTCCGGCGACTAGGTCAGGAATCAGAATACACTAAACCATCTGCAAGAACCCCAGAAGTTGTAGACGGCACACCGGCCAATCAGTGAAGAGCTGTGAAGTCATGACGTCAAACTCGTCGCGTCTGTCTGTGTCCCTTTTGTGGAACAGCACAACAGTAAACAAAGCGTCGACATGGATGTAGACGAAGACAGACATTCTGTGTTGGATTTAAAGCCGGAACAAAGAGAACGTTTGGTGAATTAAATTCAAGGGGAAAGACGTTATTGTCCTTCTTCCTACGGGATTTGGAGTATGACCAAATAACAACGATTGGTTAAATAAAAAAGTACCCAACTACCGTGGAGTGAACGAATCCTAATGCTGCGAGGTCAAACGGTTTCTACAAAGTGAAACCGACTGATGAATCAGGCTACTGACCTCATCGACCGGAAATAAAACTGCTAATATCTTAAGAAGCATAATCCCACAAATGAAACTTTTTGCAGCACAAACAATAGACAGAGTTTTGGGCCATTTTAGAGCATTTTTTTAGTTTAGAATCATTAATATCTCCAAAGCAGCACAAACAGACAAAGTTTTTGTGTAGGTTTGTGTTTGATGAGGGGCCAACTTCACGCAGAAATACAACTTCGAGAGGGGAAATGGCGACGGGAAAATATAAAATATGGCCCATTTTTGTCAATTTTGCACAACAGGTCTGCTTTAAAACATGAACAGCTTCAGCAAGCAGCTCTCAGAAACAGTGTGTTAATCTTTGGTTTCTAGTTTCCAGCCGTGTCAGGAGATAATCAGTGGTAATATTCATCCAGCCCGTGTGCGTCCTTACCTCTCGGAGCATGGGGTCACTGATGGAGCTCAGGTTCACGGCTCCCTCGTAGGTCAGGTAGTAGAACACGTTGAGGGCTCTGGCGGCTTCAGGACCCTGCTGTTTGTACCCGAAAATCAGATCGATCCACTGGTGAAGCTGGCACGACACGAACTCGCTCTCCAGGGCCTGAAACGCACAAGAAGTATTCAGCATTACTCAAATGTCGTAAATACAGTCATGTTACATTTCAAGGTGCACACAGAGTTCAAGAGACAGAGACACAATTTCAAAATTTTTCCATCAACTTTTTCATGACCTAAAGTGAATTTTCTGTGACTTTACGGCACCTACATGTGTAGAATTGATCAAAACATTGGCAGTTGTGTTCTGTTGTTAAAGGTTGACTGTTTAACTTTTCTGGCGACTGGTCCACTACCTCCTCGTCTCCATGGAGATTAGGGCTGAGTATCATCAAGAAGTTGCCGATACGATACATATCCCGAATACAGTGTGCTTTCGATCCAGTATGATATATCGATTCAATACAGTTCAATAAAAATAAAGGCTAAAATATAACCGCAAGCGGCAATGATCGGCCCTCGCCACGCCCCACAAACTCCGCGCCCCTCTGAACGCCTTGCCCTGCGCTAATGCTAATAACCCTAATCCTAACCATAGCCCCAACCCTAACACCCTGGGGTGTGGGCATCGTTGAGATTTTTTAATCGAGACCATGTCACAAATGTGGATACCAAATTTTGTGTATCTATGACAAATAAAACCTTATTTTTCCATACAAATTTTCTAGGGGGCGCTATTACACCCACTTTTCTTACATCAATCTGTTCAGGGTCAGGTTTGAACCCATGATTAAAATTTGAGTGAAATCGGTCAAAGTTTGTGTGATTTCTCAATTTTACTAGTGGACTAACATATAGAGTTTATGTCATCGCTGTGGCAGCGGCCATAACAAATATGACATGAGTGTGATTGACTCTCTGGATCAGGACGCCAAAATGGAATTTTGTGCAAAATTTCAGAATTTTTTGTACAACTATTTGGGAACATTTTTTTGTCTTGTCTTTGTTAAACCACTTCTTGAGAAAAGTGAATATGAAACACAAACATTTTAAACCTCAAAACAGTGAAAATGTCACCTAAAAGTTGATTAAAACAACTTCTGATGGATTAGATTTATCAAATCATTGAAAGTAAGTAATTTTTACTCAAATCACATTTTAAATTATGTACTTTTTTTTACTTTTACTCAAGTAGATTTTTAGGTAGGTAGATTCATAGAGTAGGAATTAAGCAAAGTAAAGATACTTTTACTTAATTACAATTTTTTTGTACTTTTTCCAGCTCTGCTCTAGACTAGAATGAATCATCTCAGACGTATTAAGTCGATAAAAATCTGAAAACACGATGAATAACCTGATATAAGTTTTAAAATCTTGGTCAGATCAGAGTCATTTGCAGCGTGGATTGCAGAACCTTGCGACATCATCCGAAACAAACACCGGCAATCTGAGCGAGGCCCTTTTATCGGGTCTTTTGTTCTCGACTGTGGGGACTAAAATGTCTTAGGCCTTTGCTGTTTCGCCATTACCATAACACAGAGACACACTCGCGGTCTTCTCTCCTCATTAGCCCGTAAAGCGAGGGGAAAACATTTATGGTTCCCTCATAAAAACAGCAGATTGTGTTAATTTGTGTAAAGCTGCGCGGTCACAAAAGCCCTCTAAACACAGCCAAATTAGAATGAGCCAGCCCCTGATTGTCATTGCTGTCTTGTGTCACATTAATTTGCAACAAAACATTAGCCCGAGCTACACTTAAGCAGCCATTTATATCATTTAGATGTTTTACGGCGCGGAGTGGGGCATCCTTCACGTAAATGTGAGTTTGTGACAGCTCGTTCGCCGTTTAATTCTTCCCCTCTCGTCTAATTACAACTTTCAATCAGGGCGGAGGAGGAGCTGGCGGTGTGTGCGCGCGCTGTGATCATGCTACATAAACATTTAAGTGTCGTACGGAGACGCGACGGGTGTGACGCTAACTGGAGGTGCTGCTCTGTCTGAAGATCTGTTACTGAAGTTAAGACGCAATCTGAGCTTCGTTTTGAAAAGATCTGACCACAAAGAGCTGATTTGGTTGGAATAGACCAAAGGTTTTTTCAGTCAGTCTTTCTCGGTGGGTCCCTCGAGGTTCTTCCAGAGGCTCAGAAGTTGGATCACAAAGAAAACTGGACTCCAAAGTGAGGATGGACGAGACCAACAGAACCTCAGACCAAATCAGACCAAAAATCAGACATAGATTTGGTCCAGGGTTTGGGTTAGGGTCCCAGGTTTAGTCGCGTGTTAGACCTGGTTTAGTCTTTGGCTAAACTGGATTTAGTCCTGGGTTAGAACAGGTTTAGACCTGGTTTAGTCCTGGGTTAGTCCAGTTTTAGTCCTGGGTTGGACTGGGTTTAGACTTGCTTTAGATCTGGGTTAGTCCTGGTTTAGGCCAGGTTTAGACCAGGTTTAGACCTGGCTTAGTTTTGGGTAAGACCTGGTTTAGTCCTGGTTTAGTCCTGGTTTAGTCCTGGGTTAGACCTGGTTTAATTTTGGATTAGACTGTTCTTAGACCTGGCTTAGTTTTAGGCTAGACCAGATTTAGTTCTGGGTTAGTCCTGGGTAAAACCTCATTTAGTCCTGGGTTAGTTTTGGGTTAGATCTTATTTAGTCCTGGATTAGTCCTGGTTTAGTCCTGGGTTAGACCAAGTTTATAATCAGGTAGCCTTATTTATGACAATAATCTAGAGAATTCAACATTATTTATATTGTGCCTTATAGTCCAAAAAATCTAAATAATTTAAGTTTAAGTTTTTCAGAGAGCTCAAAAAATAGTAAAAGCGCCGCCACAAAAATCTATTTACATGACTGCAATGGAATCATCAACAAAACATCACGTCTGGACAGATAAAAAATTATATTGTTTACATAAATATATATAATTTTTCCCAACAGGAAGTCGTCCACGAACCCAAACTTCACTCCAGGTTTGTTTTTTTTTCTGCAGTAATAGTATTCTAACCTGTCTGGAAGCTCACGGGAGTCTATTTGCGTAATATAAGACCTTTAACGCTTTATTACAGTGAGTCAGAGCGGCCTCCTCGTCTCCTGTTATTGAGTCCGTGTCCATCTTTCTTCCTGACACCTCCACGTTCAGCTGTGTCACCGAGCGATCCTTTATATTAATGTAGGTTATAAGGCCGGGGACCCCCACTCATTTCAATACAGCCCGGTGACGTCTCTCCGTGTGTGTGTGTGTGTGTGGAGAGAGTTTTATTATGCATGAGGCCTGACCTATGCATCCCTCGGCCTAAAATAAAGCTCGGTTTGATGGGCTTTTAATGCGCGCCGCCATCTCACGTCAATCAGGAGCGAGGAACAAAGGGAAAGCTGTTATTGTAAAGTGTAAAGTGTATTTGCGGTGACCTTTCGTGCGCGGAGAATTACACCGGCTGATTTGATTTCGAAAAGGGCTGCGAAATGAAATAAATCTGCTGTTTAAAAGTCGCTTCGTCTGATCAGGAACGGTTAGAAACATGTAGATTCATTAGATAATCAGCGATGTCTAACCAGCTGATACTTTGCAGCGTACGTCGGCAACGTTTCCGGGGATGTGAAGCGAACTGCAGGAAGAATTTCGTCGATTACGTTCATTTCTAATCGACAAACAGGATGTAGGTTTCTGGGCGAAGATATGAAGCCGCGTCTGACAGCGCAAACACCGGAGCTGTGGCCTCTCGGTCCCACGTTCGGGCTCTGGCACCTCCTTGGAGATCGGTTTCGGTTTCGTCAGGGTGCATGTGTACGCAGTATCCCGGTCACTGCATCATAAAGAGCTGCGCCAAACCTGCACACGTACGATCTTTGAAAACATCGCGACACACACAGAGAACAGACTCACCATCAGCAGAACATCCCTCCGTCACAGAAAGAACACTCATATTCCACTGAGTCGCGTCCTTTAGTCTCTGAACCGCATCAGCGCACAAGAGCTTTTTTTTTTTTTTTTCTTCGCTTAGTTTATGCAAATTTGCCATGTTGTTTTAAGTTTCGTTTCTACTTGCGCAAAGCTGCATTAAAAGTTGTATAGACGTTTTTAGGGAAGTGAAATACAGCGACAGTCCTTTTTCAAAGGTTGTGCATGTGTGACACCACCTTCCTCCTCCACAGCTCCCTCACTAGAAACACCTCCTCCCGCCTCTTTACTCTAGAAATCACGCTTGTTTACATCCAGTGTGCGTGTTCAGAATTACCGTTAAAGTGACCTGTCTAGAAGTAATTTTGCGACCGATGCGTCAGTTTTTAGACCCTTCGTCTGCTTCAGTCGCATCATAGCTGGAAGGAATCTCCAAGAATCACCTCAGTTTGTCTTCGCTTCTTTTCCCCTTCTCTTCTTCTTTCAGCGACCTCAAAAACGGACTTTGTTTTGCGCCAAAACGGTCATGGATTCTCGTCCGCCATCGCAACAAACTTTGTGCGAATTGTGAGGAAGCTACAGTTTGAAAAAGCCTCTAAGAACCGCTGCATAAACCACGTAATCCCCACATGCCGGCGAGTCAGTTACACTAGAAACGTAGGGAGTGTGATTGACAGCCTAACAGCCAATAGAAGAAGAGGAAGCCTTGTTTTCTATTGGCTGATGTTTATCTGGCCTCACTGTGTCCACAGTTGATAGATTTGCATTCTTTTTTTTTTTTTTTTTGGTAATCATTATTACAAAGCTGCTGCGTCTCTGTAATGGTATTTTAAACTTTCAATGACAATTTGAAACTAAAAAAAAAATCCTCCATACAACCTTTAAACACATTATAATGTCAAACGGGCTGATGTGGATCTAGAGTGTTTATGGTTTATATGTTGTAAAGTTGAGTTTATTTACGCAGATTAGAAACAGTAATAATGCCCATCCCTAGTTCGTTCACACTAATCCGAAGAAAAACTGCTCCAAAGACAGAACGATCTGGTGCCTCCAGCTCCAACGAATTCATCTGAGTACAGATCTGATCCGGCACCGTGTGGACGCCTGAAAACACTGATACTCTGATGTAGGAGCTCTAGTCGTGTCCTTATTGGACCACGTCACTGTGACTTGCTCCTTCCTGATTCGTTGGTTTGTGACATCGGTCATGT